TCTTCAACCGAATTTTTAATCATTCCTTCTAAATAGAGTAAATAATCAATTGCTGGAGATAAAAACTAATAACAGAACTTGAGCGTTGAGCGTGTAATGTGCGCTTAGTGTTCATCGTGCAACCACACTATTTACACTGAATCTGGACAGTACATGTAAGGTTAACTACTATATAGGGAAATTAGAAGAGGGGTGTATGTCGTGTGGCGCGATAGTGACACTAAGGGCACATCTCACTGGCTTGTATTAATAGAGTTTCACCTTATAATTGTGTACTTTCGATAAAGAATTTACAAGCGTCCATGATCAAAATCTTATTGAAAAAGAACTGTCCGAAGATATGAAACTGCAAGTTAGGAAATCTCTAATATGGGTCCTTGAAGAAATCTGTCTGTAGCTTCATAAAATTCAATATCAAGCACTAGCATTTTCCATACAGAATCATTTTGTTGATATAAAGTTGGTCTTCCTTTCTTGTCGTAAAAAGCTCAAAACTTCATGAAAAGAACTTTTTTTGTGTAAGTAGCATTTATTATGTAAAGTGACAGTGGGAAAAAACCGCGCCATAAACCGCCTCCTTGTGCAATCACAACATTTACACTGGACCTCGACTGTACATACAAGGTTACCCAAAGCTTTACTGCTGCCATATTGGGGACTTTGTGTAAATGGTGTTGTTGCACACTTTACACTGATTTCGAGAAAAAGCATGTTAGCGTGCAAAGTATAGTTGGATTACTAAGTCCTCTGAACAGATTAACACTGTATTTGCTGAATTCAATGCATGTAGTGTTATTATACCATATTTACAGAATTATGTATGTAAAAAAAATATTGCTAATATTCATGCCCCAAATTTAACTACAACACCATCAATTACTTCTTGGAAAGCAAGTTTTTTTTAAACAAACAATTTCTCTCTTCTAAATTCTCCTTTGAACAATAGATTGTGCAAAGAAATTCCTTTTATGACGTTTTATATGTTTTTATTTACTTACTGAGCCTCGCAACCATCCACTTTCAAAGTGGACATTATGACTATGAGTAGTTGACCTTGAACGAGTGAAAACACTTGACCATTCGAAATCAACTGTAATGTTTGCCATGCTGGAATGTTCAAGGCCAAGCTGATAAGTGTTCGATGTTTGCAGATTGATATTGATGGTTGGTACAAAACTGATCTTTGCGATAGTTCTATTTTCACAAGAACAGCTACCATTTTGCACTACATCGATAACTAGGAGGTTTTTTCTCTTAAACGATTACAACCGTGGAATCAGACCCAATACTTATAAGTAGTATACTAAGTTTTATGAGAAGTCCTAAGCTCTAAAGAGACAATTCACGCTGCAGCCGCGCATACGCACGCAGCGGTTGATCAATACTTATGCGAAAGTGAAAAGACCAGACGCGTACGTTTGCTAGACTCATTGTCCCGTGTGCTAGTTATGAGCGAATAGACTAGAGCTCCTCTCATAAAGTTAATGAAGTTATGAAGAAATGAAAGCCGTTGTATTAATCAAATCATTTAAACATGCAGAATTACAAGTTTTGATACTTTGGAAAGTGTGAGTTGGCTATAATGCAGAATAGGTCATTCAGATTGCTATCGGTGG